CAAAGCCGGGCAGTGGTGGCACATGCCTTTAATCCCAGCACTTGGGAGGCAGAGGCAGGCAGATTTCTGAGTTCAAGACTAGCTTGGTCTACAGAGTGAGTTCCAGGACAGCCAGGGCTACACAGAGAAACCCTGTCTCGAAAAACCAAAAAAAAAAAAAAAAACCAAAAAAAAAAAAAAAACAAGTTTAACAAAAATGAGGTTTTCATTATAAATGTATCCTAAAATAATCAGCTACACAGGAGCTGACTGCATCTCCTGACGATGTATTTTCTGAGGAACGTTTGAACTCTTATTGCCAGATAATTAGAAAGAAAGGAGTTACCTGTTCTTAATTTACTCTAAGAGAAAGCTGCAAAACCCCAGAATCTGGGGACAAGAAATCCTCCTTCCTCTTTTAGGAACGTCATGAGGAAGCACCCACACAGACTTAAAACAAGCTCTGCTTCAGACTCCCATCTCCATGGTGAGCTAGTAACAACACACGTGGCCTTTCTACTTTTTTAAAATCCTTTATTCACAAATCGATTAATCAGTAGAAAAGACACACTGGGTAGGTTAACAATACAGCTTGGATCTTCCACCTTCCCTTTCCAACGTACACACTGCATTAGGAAACGCTAAGACCATCTTAGCCTTCTGTGCCTTTAGGAAACGCTCTGGCTAGAATTCTTTATTATTCTCAAATTCTTTGGAGGATAATGAGACAGATGAAGTGACATTCAGAAACACTGATTGCATTTTTAAAAGGCTGTACAAAGCTCGAATTTTCTTGCTTGAATTCGCCATATGTTTACAGTGCACAGAGTTCAACAGATTACGGACAGTCAATAATAACCTATGATGTCACATTAATGGGACTTTCAAAATTAAACTGATCAGCAGAGCGAATAAAACAAAGCTCAAATGTGAAAGGCAATTCACTATATAATACTGAAACCATCATCACCTTTAAACACTTAGAAAATTGAAATAACATTAAATAATATTTGATGTGATAACTCTGAAGTACCACATCATAGTACCTTGCAAATGAAAACAGTACAAATGTATTTTTTCAATATAATTTCAGTAAAGCTTTTTACAAGAAATATATATATCTTTTAATAATAACCACCTAAGATACACACTGAACCATTACATGACTATACTATCTAGTAAATACAACACCACACTGTTTTCTGGCTGTGGACTAGTTAGTTTTTCAGGGAAATCTTGGAAATTCTAATCTACAGCCTGAGTCATCCAGGCTGTCTGACTCTTTGATTTTATTAGCAAGACCATTTGTTTGTTTTATGTTTGACTCCTCTATCACCTTTAAGGATCCAGGTTAAATTCTGTGAAAACAAACACTGATCAGGCCCTGCAGCTCCAGTATAGGTATGCTCCATGAGTTTCAGTCCTGGCAAGCCAGCACGCTCAACTTCCAGAGTTTCCCACAGTACTAACTCTGACCCTTTCCACAGCGTCCTTCCTCCCTTCCCTAGGCGGACAAAGGATGGATTAGTAATGGCATGTGGTGTTCCTCAGCATGACCTGCCAAAATGTGATGATCTCCTTGGAAGAGAAGCCATGGGCTGCAATCACACGTCTGAGCTGACATACATCCAAGTGTATTCGGTACAGAAAGAAAAGATTTGTGTCTTCTGGAATATGAATGTCCACTTTTAACAAATTCAAACAGATGCCGACATAGACGTCTTCAAACTTGATGGGTTTCACGTGACTCATCATCTCATATATCTTTGGCACCAGGTCGCCGGACATGATGTAGCCCAGCCCACTGCAGTAGGGAGGGAACACCTTGAAAGGGTACTCTTGGTATGAAATGTGGTTTTTATGGAAGAATCCTCTATAGGAATAGTTATCAATTAGAGGATAACCTGTGAAAAACTTCTCTGAGTGGTTTAGGTTTAAAAGATACTTGACTAAATTGCCAGTGTTGATGAAAACATCAGTGTCTGTTTTCATGACATACTTGGCATTGGGGCAAAATTCAATCACCCACCTGAAAGCCATAATGGTTTTCAAGGTCAAGTTATTATACGTATCTAAAAAGTCCTGCCGTATGATATCGCCATAGAGAGCGTGTTCATCCTCCAAGGACAGTGCTAACGTCTTGTCTTCCATTTCAGCCTGCTGGCCTAGTAAGAAAAACGTGAGAACCTCATATCCCCACCAGGACTTTTTCTCACCCCAAGTAACCCTAATGGCTTGTCTGGCTTTCACATCTGAGGGGCGCGAGGTCACCAGGATGACTAGGAATGGGCTCTGATGAGAGCAGTTCGAATGTTCCCGAAGCGTGAAGCGAAAGTCTTGTCTGTAAATTGGCTCATACTCATAGAAGTACATCCAGTTCACACGCTCGATCACATTGTAGTGGGGAAGGCTGAGGTACCATATCACCAGGAAACTCAGCAGGGACAGCAGCAGGAGGCTCCATTTGAGGGATCTCAGTGACATCCTATTGGGAAGGGCAGTCAAGACAGCCGGGGCCATCCACAGCAGCAGAGAAGTTCAGAAGGAACAGGCTCTACATACAAGATAGAGCAAAAGCTGGGTGAGTGTCCACCACCCCAACACACATCAGCTGATGTCATATAGTCACTTAATGCACACAAATAAACCACCATCCGGAAGCACACATCAAGACCCAGGTTAAAATAGACCCAGGAATCATTTTAAAACAACACCTCTCATTCTACATGAATAACTGTAATCCTAGCTACTTGGAAGGATTTGGTAAGAAGATCACAAGTTCAAGGCAGCCTAAGTGACTTAGAGAGACCTTGTTTCAAAATTAAAAGTAAAAAGAAAGATGGGAAGAAAAAAGACAGATGGAAGCTAAAAATATTCCACAGACAAATAAGAGCATGAACTCTCTGTCTTAGTGCTGGGCTCATTTTATTCCACTTATGCTGCATCACATGCCAGGATTCTAACCTTGATAGCTGAATAACACTGCACCCTGTAGATTCTCACTTTACTCTTATCTTCTCATTCATCGCTGGAGTCGCCAACTGACTGTTCTGTATCCTGGTTACTATGCTGCTCTAAGTAAGCAGGTCTCACTCGTCTCCTGAATGGATTCTAGGCAAGCAAACACTTATGCACCTAAGATAAAAATACTAAATAAAATATTTAAAATATAAATTTAAAGAATACACACACACACACACCTTCAATAAGAAGAATAAAAAATAAATAAACCTTCATCATAACCAGTAGAAGAACAGATATGGACCTCTACCTTCTGAGTTGAATGACAGAAAAAAACACTTATTAACGGGAAGATGAAAAAAGAGAGAAGGAAAGCAGAGAAAATGTGTGGCAAATAGGAAACACCAAAGACGGCTGCTGTAAATGCACATCTTTAGAGAGACAGCTTACCTTAACCACAGGGTTTCACAGTGTGGCTTAAATTTTTGCCATATGCTACTTAGAAGGCTGACACCTAAAACAAAACACAAAGTGTTTACAAATTAAACAGGAAAGTGTGTACCAGGAAAATGCCCATCAACCACCTAGGACTACAGTCCACAGCTAACCATTCACATCATGTCTTTTAAGTTAGTAGCATTTAAAAGAAATGAAGAAAATTTTGTTGCTGACAAAATTTCTATTTGAAAGATCTCTTTATACCATTGTGTTTTGTGTTTGCCTTCACGAGTGGATATGACTGCATGCATGTAGCTGTGTGAAGGTCAAAGTTCAACAAGTTTCCAAAACTGTAACAATCATAAAGATACAGCATCCGAGCCTGACCCACCCGAGACTTTCTCAGAGGTCCTGATGAAAGGACAGAGAACTTTAGTCCTGTGTCCTTGTCCAGAACAGGCTCTGTGAAGCTGGCCTAGGGCTGGGGCAGTACCTGCAAGGAGTCAAGGTTGCAGCTTCTGGGAGCCCAACCTTCCCCCTGAGCTGTCTGAGGTGTTCCACTTTTTCTTTACCAACATTGTCTAACCTAACTCTCTGCTGACCTTGGTCATTTTTCCTCCTGCACATAGTATATATGATACAAGAAGCTCTGCTTCTTAAACTTGTTTGGGCCAGGTATGGTGAAGCATGCCTTTAATCCCAGCACCCTTGAGGCAGAGGCATGTGGATCTGAGTTTCAGGCTAGCCTGGTCAACACAGTGGGTTCTGGGACATCCAGAGATACAGAGAGAAATCTGTCTTGAAAAGAAAAAAGAGAAAAACCAAACCCTTGCTTGTCATCAGTCGTGGGCTTATGTGAGCCCTGGTCCCAGCTGTTGCTTGTTTTGTTTTCTCTAGTTCTCATCCCTGTTCCTCCTGTTCAACACCTCACCGTTTGGGACACTTACTCCTGCTTGTTCAGGACACTGCTGTATGGAAGCAAACCCTGAAACATCTGCTTAAAAATCCAATCCCACACCACCTCACCTCCCACGTTCTGGGTGACAAGTAGGTATTGCCACTCTGGTCTTCATGTATCTCTCAAGTGCTCTGATCTGAACAGTTTGTCCCCATGAAAACTCAGGATGGGGTTTGGCGCCCAACGTAATGGAGTTTATGAGGTAGTAAGGAGAAGGGGTTCCACCCTCACAGAGGAATTAACACAGTTCCTATGGAATGCATCAGTCATCTGGGGTACAAAAGGAGCTGAGAGTTCTACATCTTCATCTGAAGGCTGCTAGTGGAATACTAACTTCCAGACAGCTAGGAATAGGGTCTTAAAGTCCAGTCCCACAGTAACACACCTACTCCAACCAGATCACTCCTACTCCAACAAGGCTACACCCCCAAATAGTGCCACTCCCTGGGCCAGCATATACAAACCATCACAGGGAAAAACTCAAATAGAACTCTGCAGGTCCCATTTGGGGCTAGCAGATCCTCAGGAGTCTGCTGCCTGACCACTGTTCCTACCCTACAGAGGCCATTGTGAAAGAGCAACCGTGGGATATGGCCTTACGGCTTTTAAAACCAATCAATCACGAGACACACAGTAAGCAGCCTTATTGCTTATTACACATGAAGACTAAAGGTTTCTACCCTCAAAACCTGAAGTTATTAACAAGAATAATAGCTAATCATTTGTGTAAATACATTTTATTTCATGTTATAGGAAAGGAAGGCAGATAAGGGAATGAGCAACTAAACAATAGTACATTGGGTGTTATGCAAAGAAAAGCCTGCAGACGGGTTCTCTGCTGTAAGAATCAGAATCCACCAACCGGATGCTTACAGCCTAAAGCGATTATAGGCAAGAGGAGGTCAGGCAGATTCAAAGGTTCCCCTTTTTGGCCCATGGTTGGCCACTGCCAGGGCAACAAGTCAGCCAAACAATGTTAGGTGATAAACATCTCTTTTGGTCAACAGGGTAGAGAGAACAATTTAGTGAAACAAGTGACTTTGGTTCTGAAAACCAAATTACTTTAGTTTGGTAATTGTCATATTTCAACCCAACTGGAGGTTTAGAATGGTATGCCACTCCCTCCTCTCATTTTTATTAGATAGGTTTTTATTAGCAGGTATAGTTGTCATTTCTGTCATTGCCTTTTGCTGGGCAAGGGCAGCATCCTAAACAGGAAGCCTGTGACAGTCTTTGGAATCAGACATTCTGAAGGAAGATGCAGTGAGGGCGGTGTCCTTTTCCATGGCCTCCAAGCTAGCTACCTAATGTTTGTCCTTCAAAATCTCAGGCTCTAAAATAACTTAGGAGATGGAATCAGATCACTGTGGCTATATCCAACTGACATGGGAGCACAGAAGGACTTGAAATCTCTCTTCTTGATGACTTTATACAATGGAGGAAGGATCAAGGGGACTCAGAAATACAGACTTTAACACAGGAGCAACAATGAGACGGTGGCATTTGGCATAGTCTTAGTCTGACTTTGTATAAGCAAGAGACATTGGTAGAGTTATCAGGAATATGAAGTCTTTTGTTTATATATATGTAGATATAAAAATATTTTTAAAATATCTTGCTTACAGTTAGGAAAAGTCCTTTAATCTACTTATATTGGAGAGGATGTATTGTACCTGGCATGTCAGTGGTCCATTCTCAAGTTTAATAGGGAGGCCTTTAAGGCCTGGATCTTTGTATTAAAGTGTAGTATGCATAATACACACATATACATAATCAATTATCTTAATCATGAGTTATACGTTCCTGCTGGATATTGAAATTACAGAACTGACCATGAGTCCAGATAGGAGAGACCAGCACCCCAGGAGTAAGCCAAAGAGCCCAGTAAGGAGAAGGGAGCCATTAGGACTCCAACAGTATGGCAAAGCCAGGAATGGTCACCAAAAATCCCACAAACAGGGAGAAGCCTGGAGTGGCCACTGGAACTCTTATAGTAGGGCAAAGCCTGTGGGGCCACCCTCAAGAACCCTAACAGAATGTAGGGAACACAGGGTGGGGAGACACAGCTACAGATGACCAGGGCCTGAGTATCCTCTGAGAGGACAGAGATTCTAAATAGAAAAAAAAAAAAAAAAAAAAAAACAAATAACAGAGTAGATGCCAGACCAAGGAGTATTTATGAGACGTCAACTTTTCACTGTTAAGGAAGATGCAGAGAAGGCATCAGAAAGCAAAGACAGGTTTAGCAGGGTTGCTATCTACAGATCTCCTTACAGCTAATCCCATTAGTTTTGAGTTTGGGTCATAGACGTGATAAGTCACATATTGAAGAAGATAATGGGAAAACAAAACAAGAACCTGACAGCCCAAGACTGTTTGGGCTCTGGATCTGTAACAGTTTTTGCTCTGTATACTTGCTGTCTTAGTCACTGTTCTAGTGCAGTGAAGAGACACCAGAACCAAGGCAACTCTTAGAAAGCTTTTAATTGGGAGTTTGTTTACAGTTTCATTACATCACGGTAGAGAGCATGGCAGCAGGCAGGTGTGGTGCTGAAGAAGTAGATGACAACTAAATCCTCATCTGTAGGCAGGCAGGCAGGCAGGTACGCGCACACGCACTCGCACACACACACACACACACACACACACGTGGGGGCCACTCTTATTCAAACCCACACACTTACCATTGAAATTCTAACACCAGAATTATCGACTCACTTTAGTTCTAACACAAGCACGACACAGCAGTATTCAATGTAATAACAAACACATGCTCTGCTTGAAAGCAGCACATAATAGCAGATGAAGAGGACAGGAACCCTAATTGAGAGTAGCCGAGTTTAACTACAGCTACCTCCAGACGCTTTGAGTACAGCATGTCTAAGTAATCAGACGTGGGGAACCTAAGACTGTCTTTACCTGTAGAACCAAGATCAGCATCATTATATCTTTGAGAAATATAGCAAGCAACTTTTCAAACATCCCCCCCCCCAAAAAAAATAGTAGGATTTGAGAAATATAAAGTATGGTCCTGTTCTTTTTAAAAAAGGAAAGACACTGAAGAAACCATTTGGTTGTATTTACTTCCCAGGGACTTTCTGTGAAAAACTTCCGAATTATTAATGATAGCTGTTCACTTACAATCTAGAGGACTGAGCTTGGCAGGTATCCTAGTTAGGGATACTGCTGCTGCTGGAATAAAACATCATGACCAAAAAGCAAGTTGGGGAGGAAAGGCTTACTTGGCTTGTACTTCCATATCATAGTCCATGGCAGAAGGAAGTTAGGACAGGAACTAAACAGGGCAGGCTCTGGAGACAGGAGCTAGTGCAGAGGCCAGGGAGGGGTGCTGCTTACTGGCTTGCTTACAGCCTGCTTTCCTATAGACCCCAGGACCAGCAGCCCAGGGATGGCACCACCCACAGTCAGCTGGGCCCTTCCACATCAATCGCTAATTAAGAAAATGCTGTGCTGCCTTCAGCCCAATCTTAAGGAGGCGTTTTCTCAATTAAGGTTCTGACCCCGCCCGCTATGACTCTACCCTGTGTCAACTGGACCCAAAACAGCACAACAGGCTGAACCTAAGTTTATATAACAGGCCAAATTTATAAACAGATTTAAAATTTTGAGCAGAAAAGTAAGTTTTACAATTATTATGTAATTTATCAGGTATGTTCCAAGTAGAAACCTTTTTGTGTGTGTGTGTGTGTGTGTGTGTGTGTGTGTGTGTGTGTGTGTGTTACAGTAGTATCCACCCAGCAAGCAATAGCTTTACCCAGTGGGAAAGCATCCCAACACATCTGGAGAAATCAAATCACAGGTTTAAATATCCCATTTAGTAAAAAACTGACAAAATCTTTTCCTAACAAAGTCTTTTTCCTAAGGTCCATTTTTGTAAGCATTACTAAGAATCAATCAATACTTAAATCTCACTGTTGTAGACAGAGAATCTTGCATCCATTTTATCTTGATGTAACTGAACTTTGAATTGAGGAATTATAATTATGTTAGCATAATAATCTTTTAGAGACCTTTATATAAATCTTTGTCTGAAATCATATACATGTTTTTTAACCAAAGATATATTTTATAACTTACATTGAATAAGTAAAGGAGAA